TTTGGAGATGTTCTCCTTGGACACTGGGATGCAGCACTTGGGAGCCCTCAGGTTTGTGCTGAAATTATTGTCAGCCAGTCCTCATATATTGATTTTTTTTTTTTGTGCAGATGCCCCAAGGATTCTGGGTGCTGGCCAACACCTACCAATTTCAGGCAATCATTTTATAACAGACTGAAATAATGATGCATAATAATGAATTAATTAGAGCCTTCCAAGTGTAGCTGATGTGTTTGTGCTCCCAAACAAAGTCTGTTCTGCCCCATTCCAAGGGAGATGATGGGATCAGAACTGGGACAGAAGTTCTTCCTTGCACTGTCCCTTTTCCTCCCTCAGGGAATGGCACAATTGTGTGGTTTACAAGGATTTGGTCAATATTTTGGGAAGGCCAGCAGTGCTTTGGCTCAGGAGCAGCTTGCAAAGACAATCCAGGAAAGCAGGAGATAGGAATTACATAAAACAAACAAACATCTTCTCTCCCAGTTGAAACATCTGGGTGCTTTATTTATTTTTTTATTTTAAATTTACTATTAAATGTGCTGCAGGGTCTTTTATTTGGGACTAAAAGTGGGGTCAGTGTGTGACTTTTGAGCCAGGGGGGGTTTGGAGTGTGCCCTGAGTGGGGATTAGGGAGCTCCTGGTGCAGCCAAGGTTTGGGAAGCACTTTGAAGATCTAAAGCCTGACATGGGGACTAATGTGGAGACTAAACCCAGGCCTAATGACCTTTTTATCAAGAACATTTCAGGTTTGCTAATGGAGATGTGCAAACCCTCCTGTGCACAGGAATTGGAGTGTGGTTTCCCCTCCTACCCTTCAGATTTTCTTGCAAAGGTAGAAGTAGAAATTGTATTGAAATTTTCCACAGCAGCTTCTGTTCCTTTTTTCCCCCTCCATAAAATAATAATCCTTTGTCTCTGAACCTAAAACATCTTTGTTTTGTCTGATTAGAGGGAAGAGGGAGCAGAGGGAATCAAATGGATTTATACAAATGTATTTTAATGGAGTGTAGATGAGGACTGAATGTTGCTTCAAATAACATTATTCCCAAGGAGTGTCTCTTTGCTGTTTTATTTTTTATTTGCTTTTAAAGTTGTTTTCAGTATTGGAACTCATTCTGGTGTGTTCAGATGAAAATTCAGTTTGTTCTGATGATACTTGATAACATCTGTATTCCGAGATCAGGTGGAAATGGGATTATTGATGTTTCAGTTCTGTGATTAGGACTTCAATGAAATATTAATGGAGCAACTTCCTATTCAGGGTCAGACAAGAAAAAGGGATTTTTTTTTTTTTTTGAGAATTAGGATTTTGTTTTCAGTATTTTCTGTTGAAATACGTGCAACAATACATGATGGTAATTGTAAAAGTACAAAAAAGGGGAAGGTTGTCAATGCTAACTTTAAAACAAGCAATTATTTTAATTTATTGCTGTTTCTGCACCTTGAGGATGTCACTGACTCTCTGTTCATGCACACTTACATTTCAAAGTGTTGAGGTGGAGGTATTTTTTTTTTTTTTCATATTTCAGTCCTCAGATGCTCTGCACAAATTCTCAGTGATCTGAGGCACCTAAAATAGCCTGCAAATAGAAATGGAGTGAACAGGAAACCACCAGCCTGTTCTGTTACTGTGTCCTGGGCTGAATTGCACAGATAATTTGCCTATTTACCCCAAAGTGACAAGGAGGTAGATTTTTTATTTTTTTTTCTTGATTAGAATTTTTTGACTGTGAGGTGAATTATTGAGAAGATTAGAGAAAGGCTTGGAGAAATGGTGGAGATATCGATATATATATATAAAATTATCATTATTTTTTAAATAGGTTATTATAAGGTTTGGAATATCCCTCCTAAGCTGAGGTTGAAGCAGAATTTTCACTAAGAGAATGTACAAGTTTATTAATCTAAAAAAATTAAAACCATTCCTGGTGACAGTTTCTTGCTAAGCCCATAAACCACTGGCTGTGGGGACATCCAGTACCTTCCAGAGCTCTGGCTCTTTCTATCCCCCCTTTTCTCCAGCCCCTGCAAAGACCTTCGTTGTGTATTGATAATCTTTTTTATTTGAATAGGATTCTTCATTTCTTGTGATTATTTCCCATGCACTGAGATTTCCTGGAGTTCTGGGACCTGACAGGGAGGATGTTCAGTGGGAAGCACCAGTTTCTGAGCTCGACCAGCTCCAAAGGAACTCAGTGCTGTGTTTGAGTCCATGAAGTGTTAGTTTGACCTTCCATGTCAAGCTTTAGTTTAAAGCAAATTAGTTCCCGTGTTAGGGAACTTAGGCTGAGTTTAGGGACAGCACCACATTTACTCCGTGTTTCTCCTGTGAAACAACTTTACCCTCTTTCCATAAAGGGACTTTGCTGCACCTCTGAAAGTACTTAAAGAAACCCTCCCCGGTGCTGTGCATCCTTCTGCTGTTCACACTTCAATTTATAACCAGAATTAGTGCAAAGTTGGCAATATTTGGGTTTTCTAGGCTGATTGTGGTGCAGTGGATGGTGCCCTCCCTGCCATGGGAGCAGAGTGTTTGCAGCTCTCCTTTTCTTACTGTGTTATTTTGTTGGAAACTTCTCCCCTGCTGAGTTGGGGAAGAAAAAGGTTTTAATTTGGAGTGGGGGTTTTTTTGGTTGTGTTTTTGGCGTTGGCTTTTGCATGGTGATCTTGAGTTTTCCTTGCTGCTCCTCAGGACTGGTTTTGCAGTGGAATGAATTGAAATGCTCCTGTTATCATGCTGATGGCTCTCTTTGTCTTGGTTTATCTGAATTCCATCAGATTATGCTGACCTTTATCTGGGTAACAATGGGGTGTTTACAGGAGATGTAGCTTTATTGCATTTAAAGTGTATTTAAAGAATATGTGCTTTTATTTTTAAATTTTGTCTCACTTATCCTGAGCTTCTGAATTGTTGTCTGTCACTCAGAACGAGACACCGCCAACTCCTTCCCCTTAAACCATCCAGTATGGTTTTTAAAATAAAATTCAATTGGAAAATCAGTCTTCCACCATTTGCATAAGGATTAAAGTTTAATCAGATTTCCATACAGGAGTTCAGTGGTGTGTCCTGGCCACGTGAACTTAAAATCATCAACGAGATGCTCAGCTCCATCCCCACCTCCTTTTGGAAACTACCTTTCCTGGGAATCCTGAGCACTGCAGGGAGTTCTGGGTGACTGAATGGGGATAATTCACTCAGCTGCCTCCTGCCCTTTTTGTTCCTAAAACCCAAACCAGCTTCTCCCTGGGAGCAGCTCCCTGGGGAGGTCACTGCATGTCCTGCTCTGAGGGGCTGCAGTCAAACCATGCTGTCCTTCCTGTCCCTGCAGGAACAGTTTGGGGGTTCTCTCAGCCCTGAGCTGGTTCTGATCCTCAGTTTTCTGATCCTCAGTTTTCCATCTGCTGGTTGGCAGAGCCGGGGGTTTCTCACTGTGCCCTCTCTCCTCCTCGCTGTGGTGACTGTGCAGCTCTTTGGGGTGAGACTCAGGGCCCTGATCCATGTCCCTTTTCATGGATTTCTCTGACTGTGCCAACACCAGAAGCATTTTTTCCCCTTACTCTTTATCATCCTCTGGGAAAGGTCTTGGGAATGACCCTACAAATGTACCCAGCAGGGCAACTGTGGGGGTTGTGTTTTATAGGGCTGGTCAGTGTCTGGTCCTTCCTGCCCTGGAGCTGTTTGTCTGTCCCAGGAATGCTTTGTATTCAGCTGGAGACCAAGGAACTCAAGTGTTCCACGAGGCCAGAGGGCCTGCACACCCTCCTGAGCAGGGGGTGATGGGGTTGTATTTTTGGGGAGACAGTGGGGTTGCATTCTTTGTTAGGATACAGTAGTTCCTGGAGTGTCTTTTCCCTTGGACCACACAACCCCCCCATGTATCTGCTGTTTTGACTGGCTTAATTTAGTGCTTCCCTTGACTTGATCCCTTTTTCCCTGAGCAGTGTTTGCTGCTCCCCTCCTTCCACAGGAGGATTTATTTTCTGTCCAGTAGTTAAAGAAGTGCTTCTCAGGTTCTCCTTGACTTTGGTCCTTCTCTGGTCACGATGTTGGACCTGATTTAATATCCAACATGAGCAGCATCTTCTGCTTTTCAACATCTGCTCTTCTCCTGGGGCAGTGTGTCAGCCTGGCACACACTTGGGATAACTTGTAGCCAAGATTATTGAGGAATGTTACCTGGACAGCTTCTTTAAAAAGGGGGGGAAAAGGATTTTTCAGCTGGAACTTGATATGAAGATGTCCTGCTTCTGTGGCATCTGCTTGGTTTTGCCTTCCTTTCTTCCTGCCCTCTAATTAAAATTGGTAAAATATATGTCACATAAACCACTGAATTGATGGGTAAAATGTTGTGCCAGTTGTCCCTGGGGAGGAGTCAGCTGTGTTTTGGTAACACAACAAGAACAGGGCTGCAAAAATTGGGAATTCCTTGGGAAGGAGAAGGTTTCATGTAGGTGCTCACCAGTACAGCACAGGGAAAACAGCATTTAATGCAGAGTTGAGTGAAGAAGAAATGTTTACTGTTGGGGTGGGTTTTGCTGTACAAGCTTTTTTTCTCTAAAACTCTGGACCATGAGAGGCACAGTCAGCAGAGCATCTGGTATTAAACATTGACACTTGCTTTAATGACTTTAATTAACAATGTCTGGAGCTTTGTTGTTTTCTTTTTTTTTATTTTATTGATTGTATCTTCCCTTTCGTGTGCAGGTATGGGATTTCATTTTTAGTGACTTGGTTGGCTACAGGAACCTGAGGATAAGATTCAATTTAAATAACAAAACAAACCCACTTCTCAAAGCTGTTGCCATTCTTTTTGGCTTTTAAATAAGTCTGATATTAAATCCTGCTTAGTCCATCTGTGACAGGAGGACCTGGATACGACCTCATTACGAATAATCAGTGATCAGAAATAGTTGTGGAGATTTTAAATAAATGTAAAGAAAAAGATATCAACTTATTTGAAGTTTTATATTTAATACTTATACCTTCTTTTGTCTCCCAGTGAGCACTTGTCCTGCTCCTTCACCTTCTTCCTGCACGGGGACAGCAATGTGTGCACGAGTGTGGAGATCAGCCAGCACCAGCCCGTGTACCTGCTCAGTGAGGAGCACCTCACGCTGGCCCAGCAGTCCAACAGCCCCTTCCAAGGTGGGTTTTGCAGCCAGGGCTCAGTGTTGCACATTAATTGCTCCTTGGAGTGGCTAAGAGTGAGGATTTGTGGCAGAGACTGGCAGTGGGAGCAAAGCTTTACCTGTGGGTGATGTGTCCTGGCTCTTCCTGCACGTGGGTCATTTGCATGTTCATCTCTTGGCATATAATCAAAGAATTTGTCTTCACCACACAATAAACTCAATTTCCAAGGGCTATCCTATTGGTGACTTAAATATTGTGCTTTTTCAGCATGCTTTGTAACCCTCACATCCCTCCATCAACCCCTCTTGTGGAAATGCCTTTCCAACTCAACACACTTCACCTGGTCACTCCCCTTCCCCCTTTTCCCACCTGGCTCTTCCTTGCCTGTAAATCCCTGTGCTTCCACCAGCAGATGCAGGTTATGCTCTGCAGGACAGAGGAGTTCTGAGCCTGAGTCTGGTCAGAGGGATGTTTGATCCTTGCCTGTCTCAGCCCCTGGTGCTGCTGTGGAAATCAGTCCCCTGCAGGAGCACACACCACCCTCAGCTATTAATGCTCAGTGGCCAAACTTGCTTTTTTTTTTTTAATGCAACCTAACTCTGTTTCCCTAATATGGACAAGACTAAACATGACCCAGATGATTCCCTGAGCACACTCTGTTGTTGTAACAAGCTGAATGAAAGGATGAGGAAACACCTTAACTGTGCCAGAATTTGGAAGTGTTTCTTTATCCCACCAGTGTCTGAGACTCCTCTCAAGCCAAGAGGAAAACCTGCCTGTTGCTTGTTTGAATAGACTGATTTGTAATTCTTATTGTGTTACCTCAATTCTCACAGTGCATATAAATTTAACCATGTGTATCTATTGCTAAAAGTAAAACATGATTAGGCTGCATTTTGACAGTTGTTTATGTGGTGTGGCTGGAATAACAGTGCTGCTGTTTCAGAGGGGCAGAGTGAATTTTGGGCAGATAAAATCTCTGGTGTGTTTGGATTTATAATCTCCAGTGTGTTTTGATTTACCTTCTAGTAATCCTGAGCCCCTTTGGGTTGAATGGCACACTCACAGGGCAGTCCTTCAAGCTTTCTGATTCATCCACAAAAAAGCTTATTGGGGAATGGAAACAATTCTATCCTGTCACATCCAACTTGAAGGAGGGATCTGAGGAAAAGCAGGAAGAAATGGACTGGGAGGATGATTCTTTAGCTGCTGTTGAAGTCCTTGTTGGTGAGTACTCAGATTCCCTTTTAGTTACTGAAATAAACTGGCTGATTAGGTCTGCAAAGTTCTGAGTGCAAAAGTGGCCCCATTTTATTCTTTTTGCAACCCTTTGCAGTGGCTGTTGGGGTTTGTTTTTCTGTTTGATGCCCAGGACTCTCTAAGATGAGTTATTATTATTTGAAGTGGATTTTGCAGACCCGTTAGCAGCAGGTCTTTTTCTTATGTGCCCTGAGAGACAAGATGTTTTTTTAAATGAATAATTAAGAGAATAAAAAATGCCTGGACTCTCCCTGTTGACATCTGAGCTGCATCAAAGGCAAGTTGTCCTGTTCCAAAGCCGGTGCAAATTCAAACAGAACAGATGTGCCTCTCAGGAATGGCTTCAAACCCACAGTCCTGGAGAACTTGATGTACTCAGGTACTGCCTTTATGTGCTGCTGTTCCTAAAATCCCAGCCCTGCACGCAGCAGTTTTGTTCTCTGCCAAGGGCTGTTGACCTTTGATTTGCCAACTGATGCAATCCTTTCTCTGAAGGTGCTGCAGTGGTGGCTGGAGACCCTTGTGCTGATGGGAATGTTGTCAGTGTTAAATGATACTAAAAATTGTGTTTTCAGCCTTTATAAAACAAAATGGTAGCAGCATGTCCCTGCCAGGGCTGTCTCTGCCCGTGTGCACAAAGCCCTTTTTATTCATTCACCCAAATCTTCTGCATAAAACAAATCATAAAGTAATGATGAGGGTGCTAACAGAAGTTTTGTCCAAGCAGAAATGCTTCAGTAGGTAGAGAAGGGTACCTAAACTTAGGAGTGGCTGCTAAAATGATGCATTTGATGATTTGAAGTGTGAGCTTTTGGTAAATAACTGTCCCATGTCCTGTTTGCAGCTGGGGTGAGGATGGTGTACCCGGCGTGCTTCGTGCTGGTCCCTCAGACAGACATCCCTGCCCCCAGCACTGTGGGGGCACCCCACTGCTCAACCACTTGCTTGGGTGTCCACCAAGTGCCTGCTGCCACCAGAGACCCTGCCATGTCCTCGGTGACTCTGACCCCGCCGACGTCCCCGGAGGAGGTTCAGACAGGTACAGAGTGACCTCCTGCCCGAGGGCTCCTCCTTCCAGCCCTGCACTGTCCGGGCAGGATCCAGCTCTTCTCACTGCAACTTGTTCTAAAAACCCACATTTCTTTAGTCCAAAGTTTGTTGTAGTAAACCCAGTTTGTATTGTCCAGCTGTGGCCAAAGTGAACTCAAACTCCTGTAAGGTGCTGACACCAGGACTGCTGCTGTGCCTGGTGTGGTTACCCAGTCCTTTGGATTGCTGGGGGGAAGTTTTGGGATTTTTCCCCTCCCTGTTTGTTTATGTTCATGTCTGTGTTCTGCCATAGCTTTAGAAACCTTGTGCACTCAATCTTTGGGGAGCAAGGTGATATTTTCAGCTTTTTTCACAGCCCAAGGAAGATTCCTTGTAGCTGAGTTTCCAGGAAGGCTGTGTGCCCTCTGTCCTGGGTGTGAGTGGTGCTTATGGGAAACTGCTTTAACTCAGGGATAGTTTCAGGTGACTTATATAAATATATTTTATTGTGCAGAAGAGGTTTTATTTCTTTTTTCCCCCGAGCTCTTCTGTTACCTAAGTTTGACCCTTTTTTAAATAATAGTGTTGGCTTTGTTCAAGTTATTTCCTTTTTCAGGTCAATAGTTCATTCAAAAATAAAGAACAGCCAGCACACTTATAAACATACATGGTGCCTTTTTTCTTAGTTATAATAATCTGCTACTACTCCTAAATTTTCTGTGTGGTTTTATTTCCTAACATTGAGACAAGAAGATACTTTTCTCTCTGTGTTGATTGAACTGGAGCAACACTGGCTGTGAGTGCTTTGCCCCATTGCCTAAAGCTGTTCCTCTGGTGCTGTTTTCAGTTGATCCTCAATCTGCCCAGAAATGGGTGAAGTTCTCCTCGGTTTCAGACGGATTTATCTCTGACAGTACCAGCCACCATGGTGGTAAAATCCCCAGGAAGTTGGCCAACCAAGTGGTGGACAGAGTTTGGCAGGAGTGCAACATGAACAGAGCACAGAACAAGTATGTACTCACCCCGTGAAACTAAAAATACCCCCAGTGTCCTGTGTGTTCCTTGCAGAAAGTAGCTCTGCTAAAGATGCTCCAGAAGGTGCTTTACTCTTATAATAAACCATTTTAAAGGAGTTAATTTTTCCCTGACTATTTAGGAATGATTTATTTAGTTCTCGGTTCAAGATGTCAGTAAAAGGCCATTTATCATTTCTTTGCTGAGTCCTGTGTCACAAAAGTGCTCTTGAGCTTTGCCAGAAGATAAGAAAAGAACATATGTTGATCCCAAATAACTCTCCTGGTATTGAATCCTAGGAGGAAGTATTCTGCTACATCAAATGGCTTGTGTGAGGAGGAGACAGCTGACAAGGTGGCATCCTGGGATTTTGTTGAAGCCACGCAGAGGACAAATTGCAATTGTTCAAGGTACAGGACTTGGCAGAGCTGCAGCCCAGAGATGTTCCAGGAGATTGAAGTGCTCAGGAGAGGGCTCCTGATCACTCCTCCAGGAGTAATTAAGCAGTAGCTGCTTGTAGGAAAGCTGTAACAAAATTTGTATCTCCTCTCCTAAATGTCATTGTAGGTCTTGAAGCTCTGCCCAGTGAGTTAATGCAGGGCTTTGATTGGAGTGAATCGTCGGAGCTGCCAGTGCAGGGACAATTCCTGAGTCCTGGGCTGGAGTTCCTTATGGACATGGGCAGTAACTACCTCATGGGCAACGTTCTCAGGCTGCAATGGAAAGGGAATTCCTATTTATTTAGGATTTAAGCACCTTTTCTAGAGGGCTGTGGCGTTAATTAGCCTTGAAGGGAGAAAGCTGGTAATCAAGAGCAGGCTGGTTGTGTCTGGTTGAATATGGCTCAGAACCCCAGACCTGCCTGGCTGTTCCGTGGGGGGCTGGATGGGGAACTGCTTGTCTGGGAGCAGATGCCACTAAAGGGGGCAAAAAAGGGGATCAAAACCCAGGGGGAAACCCTGAATTTAACTTTCAGATTTTGTTATGGCTTTCTTTTGGAGCCTGCTAATGCAATGCCACAGACTGTTAATGGGGATGCTTAAATAAATGGGAACATTCATTTGGGTGAATTCTCCATTTCTGTACTTAGAGCACGTACTGATCTTTAGGTGACTGAAGTGCTGCAAAAGGTTTAAATGCTTTCTCTGATTTAAATGTTACACTGATTGCCTTGCAATGGATATTGGTATCCTAAAAGAAAAAAAAATCACGTCTGGAGGATGTGGCATTTTCCAAGAAATGCAGTTTTTTCTTCTTCTGTTGAATGGTTGGTTTAAGTTCTGTGGAAATACTTGTGTCCTGAGAAGAGCTGGGATGTGGGGGAGGATTAAATACTCTGATAAAGGAGAATTTAGCTACAATAGCACTAGTTAAGAGAAAAAAATCAATTAACTAGTTGAAGTGTGTAAGAAATATGCAATTGCCTAAAAGAAACTGCAGACACTTAAACCCCCTTATTGTTCCCTGTGTTTTGAATCCTAAGTGGTGAAAAACATGTGGATGTGTACGAGAGTTTAAAGTAAAAATAGATTTTGATACCTCTTACCTTTTTATCCCTGCCTAATCCTGTTTTTTCAATACAAGTGCTGCTTAACTTTGCTAATGGAAGAGTGGCAAAGAATATCCTGGATGTGCAGTTCAAGAGCCCAGGCACAAACATTTCATTCTGACTTCCTTTATTTCATGTGCCTCGTTCTGTCAGATGGTCCAGAAGGTTGACACCTTGAACTTGCAGATGAAATGTTTTACAGTGTAGAAATTCAACTGTATTAATGCAGTTGAGACACTGAGTTTTTCTTTTTCCCACACTCGCGAAATTTGTCGACAAACGGCTACAAAGGCTTCAAAATAGCTTTTGTAGGACTGAGCTTCGTGGTTCTTGATGTTAATTCCCTACTCCTTAACCCACTGAGGCTTGGGCAGCACTACTAGTGCTGGAATTCAAGAAGCCATTCACTAATTCCTGTGTTGCTCCACTGATTCATCAGCGCTGGCAGGAGTTAAAAGCGACGACGTGCTCATGTGACAATCTATTTCTGTTAAAGCAGTTAGAAAATGCTGTCTTCATTTTGAGGATTCTGTGTGTGTTTGGCTCACAGGACAGAAATTTATAGTTTTTTTAAAAGGTGTTTTGAACCCTTGCGATGCTGCTCAAGGCACTCGGGTGATGGTTGGGAAGAGGCAGGGTCGCTTCAGTCCCAGGCTTGTTCCGTGGCTCAGAAGCAGCTTCTTGTCTGGTGGAAATGAGCACAGGAGACATATTTGAAAGATTAACGTGAAGTCTTTCCCCCCCCCCGTGTTAATTCTGCAGGCACAAAAATCTCAAAGCGAGGAGTTCAGGTCAGCAGGGCCAGGCCCCACCCGCGGGCCCGCAGCCGCCGGCGGCCCCGAAGCACAAGGCCAACGAGAAGCAGGACAAAGGGGACAAGCCCCAGAAACGCCCCCTGACTCCCTTCCACCACCGCGTGTCCCTCAGCGATGACGTCGCCATGGAGGCAGACTCGGCCAGCCAGAGGCTGGTGATGGCTGCCCCGGACAGCCAAGTGAGGTTCTCCACCATCAGGAGCACCGATGTAGCAAAGACCCCTCAGCTGCACAACCCCGACCTGGCCAGCTCCCCACAGCCCCCCCCGCTCAGCCCCCACCCCTGCGACGGCGTCGACGAGGGGGTGCCCAAAGCCCCCTCCACCCCCCAGAGCCAACACTTCTACCAGATGCCAACCCCGGACCCCCTGGTGCCCAGCAAGGCCATGGAGGACAGACTGGATGGCTTGTCCCAGCCTTTCCCGGCTCCCTTCCCCGAGGTCATAGAGCCCACCATGTACGTCGGTACTGCCGTCAACCTGGAGGAGGACGAAGCTGATGCCACTTGGAAGTATTATAAAGTTCCAAAGAAAAAGGACGTGGAATTCTTGCCGCCCCAGCTTCCAAATGATAAGTTGAGAGATGATCCAGTAATACCTGCTGGACAGGAAAATGTAACATCAGTTACAGAGTAAGTAGTGCTTGATCCTGGAGTACCAACCCGGGAAGGGAGGCAAGGGAAAGGCCAAAGGCAGGAGTTTCTCGGTGTTTACCGTGGGAGCATAACTCTGAATACAGGATAATCCTTGTGAGATGTGAGCACCAGATCTGTAGCAAGATTCCAGCTTTTTCTCATTTCAACTCTGATTTAGCAGATCCCAGTGACATTTATTTTTATACTGTAAAATTAATCCGTAGCCAAATTATGCCTATTTGGGACTCAAAAAGAAGCAGCTTTCTCATTTTAGGATTTGCTTTCTTCATTATTTGGAGAAAACTTGGATGGTGTCAGCTGCAGATATCCTGGGGAAGTTTCTTCTCCCTCAGCTCTGCTCTTGATTTCACTCAGTGTTTAAATGATGTTTAAATGGTCTTTGAAGGAACACTGAGGAAGTTCCTCTGGTTTCCTGGCAGAATTTAACTTTAATATAGGCAGCAATTCTTTTCTATTATCAGAAATTTCTGCTTGAAATAAGCGACACAAACTGATGTTCTTGCACATGGTACATTCTTTGTGTTGTGCAAAAGGCTTCAGGATTTGAGGTTATTCAAAGAAAACAAGTGTCTGTGTGTCTGCTGTGAACTGCTCTTGGGCCTCAGATGGTGTAGGAAACCCTTGTTCATTAGGACATGAGAACATTTCTTTATTTAGTTTGTCCTAACATGAGCTAATGTTGTCATGAAATAAAGTATGTGTAGTCCATAACTATTTAAAAATAGGTTTTTGTGGAATAAATAGAATTTATTCCTGAAAATTAGTGTTATTGAGCACCAGCTTGTAAAAGGTTCTGCTCTGCTGCTGTTTGAATCAGGATAAAGGAACTGGTCACCCTTTTTTGATGCTAAGATTTGATAAATTATGGAGTTTGAGGGCAATGGAGGAAAAGAGTAACACTGATGGTTTTAGTGATTTAACTTATATTTGAGCTGTTTTACTGCAGAATGAATGAACTTGGGTTTTCTTTAACTGGAAAAAAAAGAAAAGCCCAAACCACCACCACCAAAACCCCCAGACCATGAGACCCAAAAGCCTGGGGCAGAACCTTTGGGGCTGTGTCTCCTTTGCTGTTGTCCTGAGTAAGAGATTCCCTGTCTCCCACCTTCCCCTTCCTGGAAAAGGGGGGCAGTGGGAAGCACCAGGTGCTGACAGGGCTGTTAAGAGGAGTCTGAGCTTCCCAGGGCTGGGACTTGGATGCAGAGGTGACAAATTTGGGCTTAGGAATTGAGGAATTCCATGATTGAGGAAGTCAAAGTGCACCCAGAGCTGCCTCTGTCGACTCCCTTGCTGCTGCTGCTGATTATTTTTGCTCCACATTTTTTATCCCTGTTCAGGTGAAAGGAGACTCTTCCTGTGATCAGCATCAGTTACTGAGGGGTTTTATTTTAGGATTTAGTGTGTTTAGTTTGTGGTGGAAGAGTCGAAGCAGCTCCTCAGCAGGCAGAAACTTGGAGCTGATTTTCTGTCCCGCTGGTGGCAGCAGGAGGAGTGGCTGTGGAGGGGAGCTGGGAGAGGCAGTAAAGGTGTGGTATTTATTGCAGCTCTGTGCTCACACTTGGTAACCATCTCTTGTGTTCCCTCTTTCAAGTTTAGATTGGCTGGTGCCTGTTTCAGCTCTTTCAAGATGTACTTTATAGGATTTTTAGTGCTTTCTTTTTTTTTTTTTGCCTGGAATTCACATCAGCCAACCAGATATTTCCTTTTTTTTTTTTTGCTGTTCAGGGCATGGTCTTTCCTTGTGTGGCTCCCAGTTTGATTTAAGAACTTATTAGAGCTTTTTCCCCCCAGAATAACTGGCTGTTCCCTTCCTCTGTGGTGATCAAAAATCCTGGAAAGCACTACTTGCCTTCACAATGTACTTTTCCAGGTGTTTAATTCCTCATTTCTGGAAAGTAGTTTCCATCTTGATTTTGCCCCCTTTTTTTTTTTTCTTTTCTGATGGCAATTTTTGCAGGATTTAGGAGAAAAGAAAGGTTTTATTGAGCATGGATGAGCAGCATGGATGGATTTGCCACTGCTGCTGGCTCTGAAGAATTTTTTTTTTCTGGAAAACCAATTTCTTGGAAGGGTCTGTGACAAAGTAAAACTGTTCCCATGTTCTTTCTCACAGCCTGTAGTTGACAGGGATGTGCAGAAAATAATCATGCTCCTAATCACAACAGCTTTCTACTTGCCAATATCTCTTCTTCCTGGTGCAATGTTATATTTGTAAAACTAATACCCCTGAGAGAAAAAATGAATTTCTGTGTATTTACCAACTCGAGTTTTGGCTCAGAATGTTAAGAAAAGAAAAATGCTGATGAAGGCAAATGTGGTTTTTTAATTCTCATTGGTAAATGAGGTAGTGGAGTGCTGGAAGCTTCGTTTGTATCGATCTGAGTGATATAAATGTCACTAAACACAGGGACACTGGTGTGCTTTAGTTGTGATTGTTGTTGCTCAGGCTCTTTTTGGGAATGGCACTGAGTAATTCTGTAACCTGCTGAGTTTCTCTGGGTGGATGTGGATAGTTTAATACACTTGTACTTTATAATAAATGACAGCTCTGACCCGGGATAAATTGCTGATCTTTATGTGAATTGACAGTGCAGGAGGAGAGCTGGGCAGGATGAATCACAGGGCTGTGTCTGACGTGTGCAAGGAGCTGATATTAAAGCACTAATGACTTCATCTTTAGCCCAAAAAGTTCTCTGAGGCTGGGGTGGGAAGGAAGTGGGAAGGGATGATGAAGTTGCTGTGTGATAGCAGAAATAATTCCATGTAATAAATGAGAAATAATTCCTTTGTGATTTTTCCTTTCCTTCTGCTCAGATTAATGGTGCAATGTAGGAAACCTTTGAAGGTTTCAGATGAACTGGTGCAACAGTATCAGAGTAAAAACCAATTCCTGGCAGCTGTAGCAACAGAGGCTGACCAGGAGCCCGAGATTGATCCTTATGCCTTTGTGGATGGTGATGTGGAATTCCTGTTTCCTGACAGTAAAAAGGAGAGGCAGAACATTGAGAGGGAGGCTGGGAAGAAACATAAGGATCCAACCAGTGATGAGATTAACCCAAATTGCCTTAGGCAGCAAGGATTTAAATCCTTCCCTGTTTTCTGAGGGGTAAATTTAAAAATATGATATCCCAGCAGAAATGATCAATGAAATCAAGCAGCATGTGTGCAACTGCCCCTGCAGTTTTGGTGGCACGCTGGTGGTACCACTGCAGCAGGGTTTGTGGGTGGCACTGGGAGAGCATTGCTGCAGCACAACAAGCATCACTCTGGCTCAGTGGCTTTCCTGTGGAAATAGGTGCTGGCAGGTGCTTGGGGAGAGGGGAAGAACAAGGCAAGTGCTTTGCTCAGGAGTGGAAAGGTTTGGGGGTAGGTGAGGTGAGCCCTGACTCGTTGCCTGGACAGTGAATTGCAATTTTTATTTGATTTTTTTGCACTTTAGCACAGCTACACCAGACTTGTACTGAGAGCAAAAGTGCACCCTACATAAAAGGGGAAAATCCAACTGCTTGGGAGCTTGGACATGAAATCATTTGCTCATTAGGCCTGGTTGTGTGGGGATGCTCTGCTGGCACCAGGGGTTTTACTCAGTAACTGTTGTAGTTAATGTGCAGCATTTGATATCAAATGTTTTTCACAGGTGTTGTGGTGAGAATCCACAACTTGCTTTTCAAATTCACCCCAACACGAACCCTTTGCTGTCTGTACCCCAAACTTTGTTCTCCCTGAGCCAGTCCCCCTGCCAGACCCCCAGAGCGCCCCCAAAGCTCTCAGGGGAGGGACAACCTGATACTTCCATAGGTACAGAATTCCCCCAGGGAGATAAAACACCTCCCACCCCACCAATTAATTTAGGCCAACTTTCCTCTCCTTTTTTAACAGGCTGAGGATGGAACATCCAGTGTTACAGTTTTATCCCATGAAGGAGAGGATGCAATGTCTCTGTTTAGTCCTTCTGTCAAGCAAGGTAAAGAGGCTTTTTCTTCTCTCTCTTTTAATTGTGCTCTATTAATGATACCTCGAATAGCCAATAAATTCCAACAGGCTGCTAAGTTTTGTGTTTTATGCTTTGTGTTTCCCTGCCCCTTCAGCCTGCTTGGAACACTTCTTTGTTGCATCTTGTAAATAAATGTGGTTTTATTTTTCTCATTGGTGAATGAGATACTGGTGTACTGTAAACTAAAAACTAAAAATCTAAAAAATCTAAACCTAAAAATCTAAAAAAAAAAAATAAATCTAAAATCTAAATGTTATAAAATGAAGGGCCATCTCACACCTGTGCGTAAGATGGATGAGTGGAACCGTGAATATACTACTCCCTTTTGTTTCCTTTTCCCTCCAGCTGTGGAAATAGTTCTTTAGTGAAGTTCTTAATGCAGATTTGTTGCCAGTGGTGTGTGATGTGTGTGATGTTTGCAATGTTTGTGCCTCTCAGATGCCCAACGAATCGCTGCCCACGCCCGCACGGCATCGACCAGCCTGTTCCACGAGACAGACCTGGTGGTGTCCTACACAGACCTGGACAATCTCTTCAACTCAGATGAAGATGAACTCACAGTAAGGAACAAGTCTTGTCTTTTTGTGCTTTGGGGTTTTGATTTCCTTTTTTTCTTTCCTGGCATTTGTAGCAGAGGTTGCACAACATGGGTGTAAACAAGCGCTGTGGCTCTCGGTGGCAGACGTTCTGTTCTCCTTGACTCACACAGTCACATTTTTGATGCAAACAACCTTTTGATCTTATTTCCTTACAATCCACACAGTACATGCTGCTTGAATATACCTGTAGTTATGATTTTACAGATTCAGCAGGTCCTAGTGCTCTCTTTCCTGATCTGTTTAACTGGTTAATCAAGGTGATACTGAAAGAAAACAGCAACTTCTGAAAGAGAAAAGGCATTTAAATCTGTGGACATTGTGCCAAATAAGCTGCTTCACTGCAGCAGTTATTATCTTGGAGCAGTTTCTCTTGCAGTCTCTGATGGCTCTGAATCCATTATCTTTCTAGTTTCTATTTCAATACTGTTTGTAATCAGTTGTCTTTTCTGAACTGTGCTTTGCTCTGTGCTTAATCCCAAATCCCCTTACCCAGACAAAATGCCCATCAACTTTAATGGGAGCTGCAGCTGAGTAAGGGCTGAAGGATCTTAAAGCCATCAAAGGTCATCAGTATGTAAAGGAAGTGTATTTGCTCTGAAATATGAAAACTCTTATAATCTGTAAACATGATAAAATAGAGCTCATTCTTTTAATTTCAAGTTTTTCTTCCCTGTATCTCGTGTTCCAGGATTTGTGTTTCTCTGTTTCTTCTGCTCCTGTTCCTGTGGTAACACCAGTGATGTTGTGGCTCTGGGAGCATTCTGGGGGACTGTGGGCAGCCCTATTTAGCCTTTTTTGGTGTCTGTTAATGTGCTGAGGGTTATTCTATAACTAGTCTTTCACTTTAATGGGACCAGGACTTGGTGGGAGAGCGTTCTTTGGGTGACCAGCATTAAGTGTAACCCCAACCTCTGGCACTGGGCTCCTGATTTATTTCGATTTTTCTAAATATTATACAAAGTCTCAGCTGTGAAATTTCCTGTTAGCAGGAAACATGAACAGTGTTTATGTCTGAAGTGATTTAATTCCAATCCTTCTCTCTTAGCCTGGATCCAAACGGACAGTGAACGGTGCTGACGACAAATCCAACTGCAAAGAGGCAAAAACAGGAAATCTGGACCCACTGTCATGCATAAGTAAGCTTTATTTGTGGGTTTTTTTCCTAAAGAGAATGCTAGCTCTAAACATTGCACTCTATTATGTTGTGGGAATTTGGAAATGTGTACCCTTCATTTGCCCTTCTGGAATTTTGAGACACAGGGAACACTTGGGAATGTTTTCATGCTCTAAAGTCAACTTCTGATCTGAAATTAGGCACTGCAGATCTCCATAAGATGTATCCAACTCCACCTTCATTGGAACAGCACATTATGGGGTTTTCTCCCATGAACATGAACAATAAGGAGTATGGCAGCATGGACACTACACTTGGAGGAACAGTACTTGAAGGGAACAGCTCCACTGTGGGAGCTCAGTTCAGGATTGAAGTGGATGAGGGTTTCTGCAGCCCCAAACCTGCTGAAATAAAGGTGGGTAGTGCTGATAGTCCTGATAATGATTTATTGTGCAGTTCATTGCTTCAATCTGAATAGGAATGCTGGGAAACTAAGTACAATTTGTAACTTGCATTATACCGAGGGAGTTAATACACTTTGGAGTAAGCAGTTTATGGTATTTTACCCCTTAAACTTCAAGGGCGAGTGAGACCTGAAGAGCCGTTAGTAAACTGTAGAAGTGCATTTCAGTCACTGCATTCCTGTTAGTGTTGATATATTGCTTTTTGGAACCCGTGGGTGTCAATACTGTGTGCACACATCTCAGCTTTGTCCTACAGCAATGTCAGGGTTTGGTGTGAAAGAGCCACTGCTTGAACTCGGTCCCGTTCTATGGAGGAGCATTTCAATTGCTGAACTGATCAAATTCCCACACTAATGCTTTCCCATATCTCACTTGCAGGATTATTCTTATGTCTATAAACCTGAGAACTGTCAAGCTTTAGTGGGATGTTCCATGTTTGCACCCCTGAAGACTCTTCCCAGCCAGTGTCTCCCTCCCATCAAACTGCCGGAGGAATGCATTTACCGCCAGAGCTGGGCTGTGGGAAAGCTGGATCTGCTCCCTCCAGGCCCTGCCATGCCATTCATCAAAGATGGGTATGACCTGTGAAGGGTTTTAAGCTTTGGGATGTTATTTCCAAATAGTATTTATTTTGGAAGTCAGTAATGAGAAGTATTTGTAGATACACCGTGTTCGTACAACTAAAGACGAGGGTTTTTAGAAGGATCCTTATGGTTAAAGCTGCTGGAAGAGATTCTTCCCAAATAGCTTCTTAACTGTACATGCATTTTATTCCTTTAAAGGTTTCTTGGGGAAGCTTAATGGTGCAAGGCCAGGTTTAATAAGTAATGAAGATGGTAAACAGTCAAGATAAATGTAAACTTGGGACTTTGTTTTTGTGGTGGTGTAGTACAAGGGCTTGGTAGGTGGTGCTGCTGTTTCTTAAATTATTTTCTAAAGTAGCAGCACTCTCAGCTGTGCTGGGATTAGGAAAACATTCCCTCTGGTTGGAAGCTGTGCCCAGTGTGACTGTGCCTGGACTCAGCATTGCAGGGGCATTCCTGTGCCCTGCAGTGGGTAGGGAGGGTCTTACTGGCAGCTCTTCTTGAGGGAAATGTTCATTCCTTTTTCTCTTCCGCATTAGTTGCTGGTATAAATGGATTAGGCAACAAGAATAATTGATAAAATTATAGGAATATTAAATCCTGGATTAAATACTGATGTTTCTTCTGTTAAGGTCATTCATAAGCAGTGTTTCCAGGTCTCATTAGCCTTATAGGTCTTTGGAGATACTCAGCTGCTTAGGAAAGAAAATGTTAAACGTTTCCAGGTGATACTTTCCTTGTGGATTCAGCTGAATTTACTATTGATAGAGCTGCTGTATTTTCTCAGTGTGTGTCAACACACATGTAAATAAAACATGAATAAAAAAGGTGTCCTTTAGACTCCATACAACCACAGAATTTATAATTTATTCTGGCCACACTTGTTTCCTGGGAGCTTTGTGCAAAGGAAAAGATGAGAGGAGGCAGGGAAAGATTCTTTAACAGTGCTGTCAGTGGGAGTCCTGCAAAGTCATTTAGAACAAATGCTCTTGAAGTTCCTTAGGGAGTGAAAAATCTTGCTGTGGATTATGAAAGACTATCTTAAAAAAGCAAATATTAATTAGGAAGGTCCTTCTTTAGAAATCTTAAGTCTTCAACTTCAAACCCAGTATGTTGTGCATTAAAGCCTTTCCTTCTCCCTGTGGCCCTGGCAGTGACGGGAGCACTCTGGACCAGGAGTATGGCCCTGCCTACACCCCCCAGACCCATACTCCGTTTGGGATGCCCCCCAGCAGTGCCCCTCCCAGCAACAGCGGCGCCGGGATCCTCCCTTCTCCCTCCACCCCTCGCTTCCCGACTCCCAGGACACCCAGGACTCCGCGGACGCCGCGCGGGGCCGGAGGGCCGGCGAGCGCCCAGGGCTCGGTGAAGTACGAGAACTCGGACCTGTACTCCCCGGCTTCCACCCCGTCCACCTGCAGGCCCCTGAACTCCGTGGAACCCGCCACCGTGCCTTCCATCCCAGAGGCACACAGCCTGTACGTGAACCTCATCCTCTCCGAGTCCGTCATGAACCTCTTCAAGGACTGCAACTTCGACAGCTGCTGCATCTGCGTCTGCAACATGAACATCAAAGGTGCTGATGTTGGAGTTTACATCCCCGACCCCACGCAGGAGGCCCAGTACAGGTGTACCTGTGGCTTCAGCGCTGTCATGAACAGAAAATTTGGCAACAGCTCTGGGCTGTTCCTGGAGGATGAGTTGGACATCCTGGGGCGGAACACAGAGTGCGGCAAAGAGGCGGAAAAACGCTTCGAGGCTCTCCGGGCCACGGCCATCGAGCACGGCAGCGGGGGGCTGAAGGAGCCCGAGAAGCTCCCCGATGAGTTGATACTGTTGCTGCAGGATCAATGCACCAACTTGTTCTCCCCCTTCGGAGCAGCAGATCAAGACTCCATTCCCAAAGTCGGGGCCGTTCCCAGCGTGGTACGTGTGGAAGAAAGGGATTGTTGCAATGACTGCTACTTGGCCTTGGAACACGGACGGCAGTTCATGGACAATATGTCAGGAGGGAAAGTTGATGAAGCACTTGTGAAAACTACTTGCTTGCACCACTGGTCAAAAAGAAATGGTAAGTATTGAAATAGCTTATCCACCTACTTGTCCACCTGTTTTTTTGTGTTTTCTTTTTCTTTCTTTTTTTTTTTCAAGGTTCCTTTTTTGTGGTTTTCCTTTGTGAATATTGGATGCTTAAGGCTGTTTTTGCCACCTGCGTGTCTGTGCAAACTTCTGTTCAGAATAACCGGTCCTTTTACCTTCTGTGTTCAGACACACCAAGCAGAGTAAGGCCTTGGCTGCCATCAGGTGTAAATTCCTAATATATGTGTGAAGTGTAACATCAGACCACTGTCACTGTCCACAGCACTTCCCTGGGTTTATCCTCTAAAGCAGCTCCTGGCTCTACAGAGGCTCTGGAATGACGCCTGTAGGAAGTGGAAAGGTTCAAGTGGTGCCTGTATTGTCAAGGCCACTCTGGTAGAATTAAACAGCTCTGATTCACTTGGCATTCCCACTTCTTTAAGGGGGAGGACGCAGTGGGTTAACAGCATGTCTGACAAAAAAAAGCATTATTGTAGCCTTCACTGTGTGTTGGATCTGCCAGAGATCCTTGGGTTTTTCCTTCTAGGGCCTTTCTCAAGGAATGCCCTTTGTTGTGTGTACTTGCATACTTCTAACAGTATTTTCAAGTAGCAACTCCACAGGGTTAGGGGTGAAAGGTAAAGTTCTGGATCCCAGGGAGCTGCAGTTCACATTGGTGATGAGATGAGGAGCACTGACAGAACAGCCAGGTTCATGTGGATCCCTGGGGGATTCACTTGGAAAGCCCAGGCTGGGGATAAATTGATGTTTTCAGGCAGCCGGGAGAAGACCCAGTGTTACTGTGACCTTGGGGTTTGGGATAAAAACCTGTAAGGATACTTGGAAACAGAAGGCTTGGAAACTGTAGCCACACCAAATTTTGTGTCAGATTTCTCTTCTAAAACCCTGTACCCGAAATGGCCCAGAGGTGGCACACGATGAAATGGGCTGAGGCTGCTGGAGGCTTCTCTGGCCTTCTCTGCAGTGAGCACTGGGTGGCAGTCTGCAAACCCGCCTTTGTTGGGAGGGAAAGCCGGGATTTAAGGATTCCACAACTTGTTTGGGATTGTTGTTGTTGTTGTTGGTTGGTTGGTTGGTTGGTTTGGTTATTTGTTTTATTTTAGGGGGTTTTGCTTTATTTTAACTCATAAGATGGGAGCCTTTCAGTGGGAAAAACTCCAGAGGAAAAAAAAATACAAAAAATACAGGTGGATTTTTTCGAAGTGGCTGAGAGGGGAAGAGGGAGAGCTGTAAATGAGGGTGTGCTGAACTTCAGCTATCACGGCCTTTCGGCGTGGTTTAAAATCTCGATTCTGTCCCTAATTTCGGGGGTCTGGGCCGTTTGTGGGGAGCTGTGCTGTGCCCTGCTGTTGCAGTAGCCCCTGATGATGTTGTTGTCCCTGCAGTGGTGGATGTGAGCATGCAGTGTTCCCAGGACATCCTGCGGATGCTCCTCTCGCTCCAGCCCGTTCTCCAGGACGCCATCCAGAAGAAGCGAACGGTCCGGTCCTGGGGGGTGCAGGGACCCCTCACGTGGCAGCAGTTCCACAAGATGGCTGGGAGAGGCTCCTACGGTAACAAATCCATGGAATTCTGTCTGCTCCCACCGCTCCATCCAACCAAGGCCCAGTGGCTGGGGTGCTGCTCAGCCTATTGGAATTCTAAACAGCACTTGACCTTTCCTTGCACTAACGAGAGCTATTAGACAGGGGAGAATTCTTCTCTTTGGAAAAACACAAAATATTTATATTCCTTAAAACAGGCAATGAATTAAAGATGTGCATATAAAATTTACAACTTGGCTTGCACTGTTTGTACACACCTGACACTTCATCCACTGAGACTGCAGAGGTGGTTTTAATGTTAAAAACTGAGTAACTGCTCAGGGTTTTTTTACTCAAAATTCTTTCATTCAAAAGAATTACCCCCTTTTAATTACCCTAAAAAGAGAGTAGTTAAAAATACTGAGTTTGAAATGCTTGAAAAGGTGTGGTTTATTGCTCGGTAGCTTCAGGACTGGTCAAGAGCTGAGGTTATCCAGCGTGTTGTCTCGATAAATGTTTGGAGTGGCCAACACGTGGTGCACATTTCCAGATAAAGGTGAATTTTGTGCACTCAGGTTTAATGACTTCATTAGCATATGGGATTGATTTACCACTGTGCACAGGAGTGACCTTTCACCAGCAGATCTTCTGGAGCTATATTTGGAACGTGGCAATTACACATTTACAGTACATGTAAATGCACCTTCTTAAGTTTGTTTCCTCCTCTGGCCCTTTACTTATCTGCTTAAAATATTTACATTTCTTCTCTGTCTTTGGTCCCTGATGGCTTTGGCTCTGTGGGGAAAGGCTTCTTGGACAGTCCAGATCTTTTCCTGATTGTCTGGGAACTAATAGAACTATTAAACACTATTAAAACTATTAAACAGCTTCTTGAGGCCCCGAGAGCTGTCACATAATAATGAGCTGATGCTTTTTTGCAGAGGGTTGATCCTGTGCTTTGGATCTGTTAAAATGAGAACTATCCCATTGATTATCAGGGCTCCTTCCTGGGAGCTGCTGGGAATTAGAGGCTGTTTTGCCCATGTTTCCTAGAAGCGGGGTGTTCATTTTTAGCTTTCTGCTTAATATACTGGAAAATGTGTCTTGCTTTTCCAGGAACTGATGAGTCCCCGGAACCACTGCCAATCCCAACGTTTTTGCTGGGGTACGATTACGATTTCCTGGTGCTGTCTCCGTTTGCTCTGCCCTACTGGGAGAGGCTGATGCTGGAACCTTATGGATCCCAGAGGGACGTTGCCTATGTCGTGGTGTGCCCGGAGAACGAGGCTCTGCTCAACGGAGCCAAAAGCTTCTTTCGGGATCTCACTGCCATATACGAGGTACAGGGAATGGATTTGTGAAAGGCTGTTCCTAATACGTGCTCACAGGGACTTATCAGGCTTGTCTGAGCCGATACAAACGCTGCACACAATGCTATCTCGGAAAGCTGCTCGGGAGGATTTTGGGAATGGGCACTTGGAAGATAAGGGCTGTCTGTGCTGCTGCCGTTCCCCTCAGCGGTCGCTGTTTGCAGAGTCCTTGTCTGCCAAACGCCACCCGGTGGCCAACCCCTGTATTGCCACGCTAATTGTTTTACCTCCATTTAATTCGTTAATTGCATGCTCGGATTGTGGGAAAGGTTACAGTAGATGGTGTATCAACCGGCCTGTTTGCATTCAGGAACACGCTGAAAATAAACCATCAAATCACTTTACGATGTTTCATAGCCCTGTAATTTCAGAATTAAAATTTGCTTTGGAAAATTGGAACTAAACTGACAGGTCTCTGCCCTTGTGATATGTCTTTTGTGCGGTATTTAAGAGTTTTTAAGGCTTAGCAGCTCCTTATCTCCTGTTTTCCCCTCTCTGCAGTCCTGCAGGCTTGGGCAGCACAGGCCCATCTGTAAGCTGCTGCCTGATGGGATCATGAGGGTTGGCCCCACAGCCTCCAAGAAGCTCTCGGAGAAGCTGGTCACAGAGTGGTTCTCCCAGACAGCCAATGCCAACAACGAAGCCTTTTCCAAACTCAAACTCTACGCTCAAGTTTGCAGATATGAGCTGGGTAGGACTTATTTTTCAGTGTTTCTTATTTCACACTGTTGCCACTCACTCTTTTCCAACAGAAGAGAAGACACCGTGGCTTATTGTCTTACTGATCTTGGCAATTTTCTGGGTTTAAGCTCGAAAGGGGAAAATCCAACCCCCCTGTGTTTCAATATGTGCTAAAATGGCCTCTTCTCATCCAGCAGTGCCTTTAGGGAATGGCAGTGTTGCTGCCTGACAGGGATTTTGGTTGTCTTTGTCTACTGGTGACTTGGATTCTGAGGCAGTGATTTCCAGCAATGCAGCATGGCTGGAAACAAAATTATTTTAAAAAGAGATTTCTGGAAATTTCTGAAAGATTCTTGTGAAAATAGTAGAATTTGTAAATTTAATACAGGTATTTGAATTTGGGAGGTAAAACATGTGCTCAAGGTTTGCTCTCTGTTTTGTTACAGCTGTAGATTTACATGAGCTTTAAAACAGTTTCAATATAAATTTTGTGCTTTTTTTCTGCTTTTAGGTCCTTATCTTGCTTCTCAGCCCTTGGACAACTCTTTACTCTCACAAACCAACCTAGTCCCTCCCTCCAGCCAGCCGGGCTCTGCTCTGCCCTCAGTGCCAGCCAGCGCTGGGAATCCCAACCCTCCAGCGTCGGCTCCCGCGGCCCCCACCAGTAGCACCATCACGGTGACATCCAACAGTGCCATGTCCTCTGCAGCCACCACGGCCAACTCCACGCTGACCACCACTGCCCCCTCCTCCTCCTCTGCCAGCCTGGGCGGTGGCATTGCCACGAGCAAACCTTCCTCCTTCCCCCCCTTCAGCAGCCTGGGCAGCAGCACTCCCGCCGCCCTGCCCGCCCAGGCCGCGCCGGTGCAGAACGGGCAGGCGGGGGGGCAGCAGCAGCCGCCGACGCTGCAGCCAACAGCGATGGCTGGGGACACGACTGCGGCTCCTGCACAGCCACACCCGGAGGTTTCGGAAAGGTACGGAGCCTGCAGCTGGAAAACCCCTCAGCTCAGCTCCTGGGAACCTATTAATGCGCTCTCATCCCCTTAGTAAAATTCCTGTGTTTATTTTCTGGTCACCAGGCTGCTTTTTAGGGAGAATGACAGTCAGTGATGGTGGAGCTGAACTTTCTGGCTCCAGTTGTAGCTGCAGTTCTAATTGCACCTCAGTGTCTGCTGTGGTACAGAAATAAACTGTCTTTTTTTTGCTTCTCTCTCCAAAGAGAGAAAATTCACCGAAGTGTTCACTTCTGTATTTTAAAGGGCTGGGGAGGGGGGGAGAAATAGATAATTGGCACCATCTTAGAGTTCTATTTTCTATAATCAAAGTTATAGTAGTGAATACAGCTCTTACTGAGAGACTGGCCTTGTAGATATTCTTGTTCCCCAGTTAAGCAACAGTTGAGCTGCTGTAATGAAAAAGGCTAAAGAAAAGACAAGGGATTCAGAGTTACTCATAAACTCACAGAGAAAAATGAAATAAAAATGCTGTTTCTTGCATCAGAATTGACTTGAAGGTCTTTCAGGTTAATATCTGACAATTTGATCTTAAAGTAAAAACAAATCTTTATAAAACTCAGCTTTTTGTAACTGGTTTCGAACTTCCCTTGGCAGCACTATGGATCGTGATAAAGTCGGAGTCCCCACAGATGGAGATTCACATGCTATCACTTATCCACCTGCAATTGTAGTTTACATCATTGATCCTTTCACATATGAAAAAAAGGATGAGAACAGCAGCTCATCCAGTTTGTGGACACTTGGACTTCTGCGCTGCTTCCTCGAGATGGTTCAGGTTCTTCCTCCCAACATCAAGAACATCATTTCTGTGCAGGTGAGGCAACACGAGTCAAGAACCAGAGACATTTGATTCCCAAGTAAAATTCAAAAGGCAGTGTACCCAAATTCTGTCTCAAAAGCCATTTAATGATGACACAGTGATTTATTTTGCCCTCCTTCAATCTGTTCCAGATTGTCCCATGTCAGTACCTGCTCCAGCCTGTGAAACACGAAGACCGGCAGATTTACACCCAGCATTTAAAATCTTTGGCATTCTCAGCTTTCACTCAGTGTCGGAGGCCTCTCCCAACGTCCACCAACGTGAAAACCTTGACTGGCTTTGGCCCAGGTTTAGCCATGGAAACTGCCCTCAAGAGCCCTGATGTGAGTGTCCTTGAGGGTTTGTGTAAAGATGGAGATCAGAGAGAGGTCCCTGTTTGTTAAACATGTAACTGAGTAGAGCTGTTAGCAGGAATTGCTGCCCAAAACTTCACTGTCTGTTCTGTCACCTTTACAGAGACCTGAGTGTATTCGGCTCTACACCCCTCCTTTCATACTGGCCCCAGTAAAGGACAAGCAGACAGAACTGGGAGAAACCTTTGGAGAAGCTGGCCAGAAGTACAACGTGCTTTTTGTGGGCTACTGTTTGTCCCACGATCAGAGATGGCTCCTTGCATCCTGCACAGACCTGTACGGGGAGCAGTTAGAAACCTGCATCATTAACATTGATGTACCCAACAGGTAAGAACCAAACTGGTCGATTCACGAGTTCCAAATGTGGCAATAAAGACTTGTTGCAGGTGGGTTTTAGCTTTGTTTTCCCTTCTTTCTCAATTCTAGAGCCCGCAGGAAAAAGGGTTCTGCCCGCAGACTTGGCCTTCAGAAACTCTGGGAATGGTGCCTGGGACTTGTGCAGATGAGCTCTTTGCCATGGAGAGTCGTAATAGGCCGTTTAGGAAGAATAGGACATGGGGAATTAAAAGGTATCGTTAGCATTTTTTAGAGTCTGAAACTGAATTTGAAGCTTTAGTTTTTCAATAACATCAAGTGTCTGTCCCTGTTTCTGGAAGAAAACCGAGATATTTTGGAGTTCCTTTGTATATTCTATATTAACAGATGTACAGTTTGTACCACACACTGTGATGTGTAAAATACAAATCTGTGTTGTGCAGCAAGAGCTGTTCTAGACAAACCTGTGTCCTCTGTCCCCTCAGACTGGAGCTGTTTGCTGAGCCGCCGGAACCTGCAGTCCCTGAGCAAGAGACTCAAAGACATGTGCAGGATGTGTGGGATCTCTGCTGCAGACTCTCCCAGCATCCTCAGTGCTTGCTTGGTGGCCATGGAACCACAGGGATCCTTCATTATCATGCCAGGTATTAGGGGAACTCTCTCTCATTTTGGCACAGGAGCTGCTAGTGCGGGGTTTGAGGAACTGAGGAAACACTTGGTCTGTCCCCACAGATTCGGTCTCGACGGGCTCCGTGTTCGGGCGCAGCACCACCCTGAACATGCAGACGTCCCAGCTGAACACCCCCCAGGACACGTCCTGCACCCACATCCTGGTGTTCCCCACGTCTGCCTCTGTGCAAGTGGCATCCTCAACTTACACCACTGAGAACCTGGACCTGGCCTTCAACACAAACAATGGTTCGTGCCTTGGGTTTGTTCTAATGAGCCATTTCCATTGCTATGGAAGATCACTCATTTCAGAGTGCATTGTCATATCCTGTGCGTAGGGAAACTGTAGGAACTCACTGCTCTTGTTCTTTTTCAAGATGGAGCAGATGGAATGGGAATCTTTGACTTGTTAGACACTGGAGATGATCTTGATCCCGATATTATAAATATTCTTCCTGCATCCCCTGGTGGATCCCCTGTGCATTCTCCAGGGTCCCACTACCCCCATGGAGGTGATATGGGCAAGGTAACTATTGCAGTAAATGCAGCTCTGTGTGTTTTGTCTGCTTCTTCTCCATCTGCTCACTTCCTTTTGTGGAATGAAAAGTTGTGAATCGCTTGGCTTGTCATGTAACGCTTGGATATTTCAAGATGCTTTGTGTTTCAAAAGCTACAGATAATTTCTGCCAAGTCGGTGCCCTCCTGACACGAAACCATTCCCTGTTGTGTTGCAGGGTCAAGGCACAGACCGATTGCTGTCCACGGAATCCCACGATGAAGTCACCAATATTCTGCAGCAGCCACTGGCCCTCGGCTATTTTGTGTCAACTGCCAAAGCAGGTCCATTGCCTGACTGGTTTTGGTCAGCGTGTCCTCAAGCACAAAATCAGTGTCCCTTGTTCCTTAAGGTACCGTACAACCGCTGTCCTGCAGGGATCAGAGCTGGGAACTGGGGTGTTCCAAACAAAGTCACTTCTTGTCTCTTGGGATAGCTCTGCTTTTGGTTCAGGAGAGGTTGGATGTGAAATTCTTGAGATTCGGCTTTTTGTCTTCGCTTTTTTTTTTGAGGGAAGAAAAATGAGTCATGGAAGTAGCAAACGTTGTGGAGGGTCTGGTTTGCTCGTGGTTTCCTCACAGTGGTCTGGGCTACAGGATTTTGTAGGAACAGGTTGAGTTTCTGGACAGAGCTCTGGTTAAGGCTGGACCACTGTGGGAAGTGGTGGTACAGAGGAAGGTACACAAGTGCAATATCATGTCTCATTTGCACTGGGTAAAAAAAGTACTAAATGCATCTCTTTCTGTATCACACAAAGCATAAAAGCTGTTTTTTCCACGTTGGCTGTTGCCAAGTTATAGCCATTGTATCATCTGTCTGGGTATTGTCTGATTCCCTTATCTTTTTATGGCACAATCAAGACATCCTTGACACATGGAAGGCCATCCATGGGTATACAGAGAAACTTTCTGTAATAACATTATTCACTTTTGACACAAATCAGCATCTAATACTCTGCTTTGTTTTCTAATGATACAGATACATCTTCTGCAGCCTTGTTTGTGTCTGGATTAGCAGTTCCTCTTGGCCTAAACTCAGCTGTGGCTTTGGTGTAGGGTATTATTTTGAAGAGGGGATTTATTATTTACACTAAGCAGTTGTAGATATGACATATAAATAGACCAGTCCCATGGAAAGCAACTGAATTTCCAAGTCTGTACGTTACCACACATCTTGGGCCACTTGAGTGGCTTTTTTAATAATCACTTAATGCAGCAAAGGGATTAAAAAACCAAACCTAAAATATGTTGCACTAGTAGCACTGTGCTTTCAGGAGAGATCTGTGTGAGTGAATGTCAAGGAAACCTTTATATACTGATAATTCCTTGTTGATTGCTTAGGGATAAGGTTTGTTTTGGCTTGTGTGTCAGAGAGAGAAGGTGACTGCAAGGTTCAGGCCTACGATGTGGGGGGAAGAAAATAGAGTGTAGTTAAACGAGGCAGTAACTTCTGGTTTCCTTCTTCCTTCTCAGGCCTCTTTGCACCTCCACGTGCCTTCAGTGCAATCAGACGAGCTACTCCACAGTAAACACTCCCATCCACTTGATTCTAATCAAACTTCTGATGTGCTCAGGTATGTATGGTGGATCACCTGCAAAGAGAGAGTGCCTTTCATTTCAGTGCTGCTGCAGAGAAGCTCCATGTCTGTTTGCCTGGCTGTTAGTTCTTTTGTGCTGCTGACATCCTCAGTGCATCCCAGAGCCAGGGAAATCGCTGTGCTTTAAGTGATTACGTGTCACAGAACAGTGGAGTTAAAACCAAACATCTCTAAGCCCTTCTTTAACTAGTCAGAGTTGGGTACAACTGAAAATGTCTGAAAGACACTGAATTTCTCAAAGAGAAGAGCAGTTTGATGTCTAACACAGAAGGCAGTAGTAGTTAAGCCAGAATCTTGTGGAAAATCTGAAATGCTGAAGGAAGGAGCCCAGACTTATGTAAACAAACATGGGACACTTGTTGAGAAAACAACAGATTTTTTTCCTTTGTATTTTTTAAATATATGAACCTCTTGACATGAATTAAGCAGAGACAATTACAATGACAGCTTTCCACTGAAAGCAAGTTTAGCTTTGAGCTGCTTGTAATAATTGGGAAGACATGTTATTTCAGAATGTTGGCTAACCTACTTCATGTTTTTAGTGCCAGAGAAGCTGGATTATAGTAAATTAGGGCTGTGAAATCCCGGTGAGAGAATCTGTTGGCCTGACAGCAGGTTGTTTGTTTTTCAGGTTTGTTCTGGAACAGTACAATGCACTCTCCTGGCTAACCTGTGATCCTGCAACCCAGGACAGACGGTCATGTCTCCCAATTCATTTTGTGGTGCTGAATCAGTTGTATAACTTTATCATGAATATGCTGTGATCTTCATCTGAATTTTGCAAGACAAAAATGAGGAAAAGGGATATTTCACTGCAGGACTAAGTTATAATTCTTCTCAGTGCAACTTGTTTGTGATGGGGTATGAATCTTGTTACTTCCAGCAAATATTGTTTTGACTCGTGAGAGGGGCAGCCACCGCCCTGCTGTCTGTGAGTCACTGACTATGGGGGACGCTTCAGAATGATGATCAGAAAGTGTATTATAACATTTTTAGTAGCAAAATTAACCATTTTTCCCCGGCCACAGTATTTGTGAAGAGTAATGAGCCATAGTACCCAGTCATGGTTAATGAATTTTAAAAGCATGGAGATGAGAAGAAATGTGAGGAACAATTAAGTTTCAACCTATGGCTTCAGAACATCAAGATGTTCTTTTATTGGATAATAGTACTTAGTATTCAAAAATGCCTGCATCTCTTATTTATTGTAAGTTTTTAAATGTATAAATTGTCTTATATTTCTTAACCTCTTTTATAAAAATTTTCCTAGAAGGTTTATACTGCCTTCTTGCTTTAAAGCAATTGGTCTAAAATATATGTAATCGTCTTAATTAAAAGTTGCAGTAGGTTGCTTTTAGAGTATTATTTTTTTGTAAGGGGTGGGTGGGGACAGTAAATTTGTATTGTCTTGATGTACAGTTTAATGGGGATAGAGGGGTTAATGTCCATACCATTGTGTGTGGGGGATTTACAGCTAAGCTGTAGTTGCAGAGTACATGTACAGTAATGAAGTTCACTGTGTTTATATAAATTGAAAAGGTACCGGGTCTTACAGCATTTTATATCACACCTTTCCAGAGTAACAATGGCAATATATAAGTGATATTGTAGGTGGTTTAACTTGTAGTGAGAATAAAACGAATAAACTCTTCAACTGAAGTTTGTGTTATGGTTCAGGGCTGTGGCTAGATTCTCAGATCCACTTCCAGGAACACGAGTTTTAATATTCCAAGAATATCTGTTGTGCATTGTTGTTCCCTGGATATTCTTGGCACTGCATTGGTTGCTTCCACATTTGCGATAAACTGCGAATCTGAGGCGGAACGCACGGGAAGCTCTGCCCTGATCCAAAGTCTCCTGTAAAGGCTGAAATTTAGCCCAGCTCTAGCCATTGCACAAATGCAAAAATAGTCAATCTTGACTTTAAGATTGGTGTGTGTTTAACTAAAATGTGGTGTATATAGATTCTCAGTGAATTCTGGTATTCAGATTTTATTCCACTAGTAAAACAAACAGCACGAAACCCTGAACATTTTCCTTTCCCATGTACTTTTGGCACTGTGGGGAAGGTCCCAAGTATCAGTGTCTGGCCTTCCCCGGATCCCGTTTTCAGGCTCTGGCTGGGGCGTGTGCCAAGGAGGCTTTGCCCTCTCCAAGGAAGGGACTGACAAACCACAAGGCTTTCCTAAACGTCTCCCTCCAGCTACAGCCACCATTTTTTCTCAGTAGTTTCCTTCCTTTTTCCTAGCACATGCCAAATGTCTGATGCTGCTCTAAAATAGCCCCTACGGGTGCTGAAGAGCAGCTGCAGATACTTTTTCTGGGTTCCTTATCTGACTGCCAGATGAAAAACTGAACTCCTGCAGCGCTCACGGGAGCCTGTCACGATAATAACCCGTGTCCTGGGTCTTAATACTGTCTGTCTCTGGTTTAAACCTGTAAAGGAGCAAGTTTTAAGATCCATTTGTGCACCTGCTGTTAATCCTCCACAAGGAAGAATTTTGCTTGCATTTACCAAACTTCCCGTGCTCATGAAAACTCTCGTTTCGTAAATGCAAAATCCCTGCCTGGGCTGCTTTTTCGTACCAACAGTCTCCCTGAATCGTGTACATACAATACGAGCGACTTTTCGGGTTTTGTATAAAGAAGTTGTACAATTGGTGACGAAAATTTTCGGTCGTTTCTTCAGGACAACACGAGTGCAATCAGAAGTTTAGCCTATTTTGATAAATAGAGTTCCAAACTGGGTCTGTCCATGACTTTCTCTCGGTGACGCGCCGCAGATTAAACGGCACATTATTGTCTTACACAAGGTTTTCTCTCATTTGGCTGAGATTTTTTGAAGTGGAAAAGTGCTCCTAAAACTGGAATTTTCCAAGTGTATGTCCTTTTTTTTTTTTTTTTTCTTTCGAGCTTTGTTGCTAAGTGGTCATTTTTAACCCTGGCTCAGTTAACCAAGTTCCAAGGGCTGGGTTTTGGTGTGGCTTTGTTTGTGTTAAAGCTGACTTGTGTTCCTAAAGGTAAGTGAATCAGCTTCCTGAACGTTGGTGTAACTGTATTCTGTTACCTGGACCAGCCTTCCCTGTGAAACTCTCCTACTGTGAAAGCTGCCAGTTTCCCACTCCCCACCTCAAATGCAATTAAAGTAAATGATAATATTATAACCACTATGAAAGATTAGAAGGGCCATTTCTGGAGTGATAGTCCCAGCCGGCACTGTACATATCAAACCTGCCAGCACCGTGGAGCCAACTACTATACTGGGCATATTTTGTTGTTAGCTACTTTCATTTTACTATTTTAAGTGCACATAATAGCTGGTGTATAAATAAAATTGTCACAATCCAGTAACTCGGGTTGTTTAGCAAGTACAAGCTTAAACAGTTGAAAATTTCAGCTACAGCTTTTCAGAGTGGTCTTGCATGAAAATGTTCCTGGCAGTGCTTTTAAGTAGCTGTGGAGGTTTATCTCCTCCAGTGAAAAAAGAAGCTGAGGTCCTTCCATTCCAATTAAAAAGATGTATTTTTACCCAGATATGACTGTATTTAAGCCTTTTAGTCACCTTTGACTCACTACTATTTGAATCAGGTTTCTGAAGACCCTGTTGCTCGACCAGCAAGGCCACCAGCTGTACTTGTAACAACCCATTTAAAGTAGCTGTAACATTTAGATCTTTCTAACATTCTCTAAAATAATTAAACATGAATGGATTTATAATTAAATCCTCAGCTATGTTCTTACCTAGCTGTCAGTTATTGTATTTCTATATTTACCTCTGATGGTAATTTTAACTTCGTGTGTTGCTATGAAGACTTGCCGATGTCTTTAATCAAGCACTATTTGTTAATACTGTAATATCAAAATATTACGTCGCATTATTTTAAAGCTTTCAAAAATAAGAGTAAAACCTTTAAAAAAAAAAAAAGCTATTGCACCATATAATTTGCTGCACAACAGTATGGCACCGCATATCAGCCTGTTTGGGTAGTAATGCTGCATAAACCTTGTTTTGAGCTGGGTTTCTTTGGAGAATTCATTCATTAAGGTGACATTGTACAGCGTTACTGTCTTGCAACCTCCAGCTGGGAAGGTGGTTTTCTTTTATTATGGTTTTTGTTGGTTTGTTTGTTGGTTTGTTTTTGGTTTTTTTTTTAAGTAAAGGACCCAGGACTATGCTTCGTACTTAAAGGGTTTTTTTTATTATTTGTGGGTGTACTTTTTATTTTCAGTGGAGTAAAGCTTAATTTACAGTAAAACTGGATTTGGGACCTACCACAATCCTCAGGGTCACTTTTTCAGGACGTTACTCATCGAGCTTTAGGTTTTTCCGAGTCAACTGGACGTGAGGACCTCGCCGAGCGCCAGGTTGGGAGGACGCAGCCTGTGGCCTCGTGACTGGACATGTCGCCCCTCCGGCACGGCTGGACACACCAGGGAGCTGCTCCAACGCCCCATGGCACGGCTGGACACACCAGGGAGCTGCTCCAACACCCCATGGCACGGCTGGACACACCAGGGAGCTGCTCCAACACCCCATGGCACGGCTGGACACACCAGGGAGCTGCTCCAACACCCCATGGCACGGCTGGACACACCAGGGAGCCGCTCTGGCACGGCTGGATGCACTGGGGAGCCTTTCCAACACCGCCCTGGCACGGCTGGACACACCGAGGAGCTGCCCTGACACCCCTCCAGCACAGCTGGACAGGTCCAGGAGCTGCTCCAACACGGCTGGACAGGTCCAGGAGCTGCTCCAATGCCTCTGGCACAGCTGGATATGCCGGGAGCCGCCCTGGCACGGCTGGACATGCCAGGGAGCCTCGCACAGCCCTGTGCCCTGGGCCGAGCCGCCGCCGTCGTGCTCATCGTGACAAACACAGAAATAAAAAGCGATTTAAAGGAACAAACACTATTGCTGCCGAATGCCATAAACACTGAGTTGTACAAAATTGTGATCGAGGAAATGAAACGTTAAAAAAAAAAAAAGGTTTATACTTTTTAAAAAAAAAAACAACAAAAAACAAAAAACAAAAATAATTTCAAATGGAATAAATTATTCATGAAGCCTTGATTGTGGTGTGGGTTTATTGCGGGGGCAGCGCACCCTCAGCCTTTCTCCTCTTCAGCCTTCCTGCCCTCAGCCCTCCTGTCCCTCAGCCTTTACTTCCCTCAGCCTTTACCTCCCTCAGCCTTCTCCCCCCTCAGCTCTTCCAGCCCCTGAGCCTTCTCCCCCGTCAGCCTTCCCGGCCTTCCTCCCTCAGCCTTTCCTGCCCCTCATCCTTCACTCCCCTCAGCCTTCCTTCTCTCTCAGCCCTTCCCTCCTGCAGCCCTTCCCACCCCTCAGCCTTCCTCTCCTCAGCCCTCCCGCCTCTCAGCCCTTCCTGCCCCTCATCCTTCACCCTCCTCACCCTCCCTCCTCCCTCAGCCCTTCCCTCCCCTCAGCCCTCGCGCCGTGGCGTCACTTCCCTCTTCCCCCGGTAGTGCGGGCGGTGGCGGCGGGCGGGCGCGGGAGCCGTCAGGGAGCGGCGGCCGCCGCCATGTCCGACTGCTCGGCGCTGCAGTTCGTGAGCCCCTACGCCTTCGAGGCCATGCAGAAGGTGGACGTGGTTCGCTTGGCCGCGCTGAGCGACCCCGAGCTGCGGCTGCTGCTGCCCTGCCTGGTGCGGATGGCGCTGTGCGCGCCCGCCGACCAGAGCCAGAGCTGGGCGCAGGACAAGAAGCTGATCCTGCGGCTGCTCTCGGGGGTCGAGGCGGTGAACTCCATCGTGGCGCTGCTGTCCGTGGACTTCCACGCGCTGGAGCAGGACGCCAGCAAGGAGCAGCAGCTCCGGTAACGCGGAGATCTGGAGGCAGCGCTGTGCGGCTTTTCCAGCCCTCACAGTCGTTGCTGCCCTTCGTGTCCCTTGATCTCTTAGGAAAGCCCCGGGGGTTGACAGGGAGCCGGGTTTAGTTGTCTGTCCTGGGACCTTCTCTGCCGGCTCCAGCCCTCACGGTGGGTGAAGGTCTGGGATGCACTGGGAGCTGCCCCGGCTGGGGAGGATCTGGGAAGGCTGTAAGGGATTGAACAGACAGGTCATGTGGATGCACTTTCCTGACTGTTTGAGCTGCCGGGGAACAGCAGCACTTCAAATTTTGATAAGCTGCCCAATTAGGTTTCATGTACTGCACTTATAACACTCCTTCTTGGTCTTTTTCTTGATAGAAGAGATCCCTTCAGAATTATGTCCTTCCTTTAAGCGAGGACATTCCTACGTTTGCAGAAACATTTCATAGTTGTTAATTGTGTGTCAGGCACAAGCTGGGAGGTGGCAGTGGAGAAAGCATCCTGGTGTCCCAGCTGCAGCACGGGCTGACGCTGGAATTCGAGCACAGCGATTCCCCTCGGCGGCTCCGGCTGGTGCTGAGCGAGCTCCTGGCCATTATGAATAAGGTAAACTTGTCCATATCTGGATGTCTGTAGAGTTTAGGGTGGTGAAAGTGCACTCTGGATAGGTTGGTGAGATGTTTGGTTGTTTCTGGTGCTGGTGTGAGCACTCTTCAGTCCTTACTTGCTTCCTCAAGACTCAAAGCCTCAGTCTTATTAAACAGTGGCTTGTGATTAAATTCCTTGCGAACCCACTTTCCTAGAGGAAGTCTTTCTTCCTCAGAACAAGCCAAGTCTTTGCTAATGTGATACAGACTCTGTAATATGCTGTACTCAAATATAATGTGATTTGGTGATGTATCAGTGCAGGAATCGTATTTGAAAATGAAATTATGACTTGTCTCCATCCAGTTCTTTGCCTCCATTGCAGTGTGGTATTAGCCACCATATTTCACTTGTCCACCCCAACATTTTATTTTCCTTGTGTAAACTTAGGAAGTTTTTAGAATTGTCAGTGGGCTATTTCTCCTTCTTCTGTGAAGAAGCAGTGATACCATCCATACTGAAGTTATTTCCAGTAGTAAATATTTCTTACTGTAGACACTTCTCCTGCTTGTTCTGTGTTGATAGCTGTACATTTTTGACAGTTTTTAATCTATTAAATCCGCTGGATTTAAAGCAGATTTAGACAAATCACTTCATAGAACCCATTCAGTGATGATAAATATATTGTCTTTCAGGTTTCAGAATCAAATGGTGAGTTTTTTCTCAAATCTTCCGAGCTCTTCGAGAGTCCCGTTTACCTGGAGGAGGCAGCAGATGTTCTCTGCATTTTGCAAGCAGGTTGATATTCTGTATTTACAGTGTTTTTTGACCTCTTAAAAGTGTAACAAAATAACTTTTGGAGCCATTGTGAGGATTTCAGGTTAATCTGAGCTGTGCAGCTCTTTGAAAGAGTGGCAGATCACAGGTTGATTATCCACTCCTTATTTCCGTGGGGTTATTTAAATGTGTATTGAAAACAAGGTTTCACTTGTCTTACAGCGAAACATTGTGACTTCTAACACCCTCTTTTCATGCAGAGCTGCCCTCCCTGTTGCCCATAGTGGATGTGGCTGAAGCTCTGCTGCACGTTAAAAACGGGGCCTGGTTCCTGTGCCTTCTGGTGGCCAATGTCCCTGACAGCTTCAACGAGGGTGAGTCACAGCTTCTTCTTGTCCAGCTCCTGCTACAGGTCTGAAATGATTTCTAGCAGTACAGTTAATTCTCTAAACCACATGTTGTCCATGTTTGAACTGGAGAGCGTTTGGCTTGTGAAGTGTAATTTGAATGCATTTACACCCAGAGGTGCTGATGGGTTGCCCTGCCATTATGTTGATTCCCATTTTTTGCAGCCTGCTTGTCACAGCTTTTCACCTGTAGGTTAGTTAAAAAGGCTGGCTCAGGCTGGGGCTACAAAGCTGCCCTAGCCTTGCTGACAGTTCTTGTCCCTTGCACTGAGACATTTTATGAGGTGAAAATTTGTATTGATGGTGCATGTTTGGCATCCCTTACTTGGCACTAAGATTTCAGACTCCAGGACTGCCAGGTGCCCAGGTTACATTAGGTAAGGGGTGACTAGTAACTGGGTGATGCATAAATCTCTAATGACCCTGTAATTTATCTGGGGAGAATGACCTTGTTCTGCTTCTAGAATGCAGCTCGTGAGTTCTTGCCCAAACCAGGTTTGTGTGGCCCAGCTAATAAATCATGGTGAGCTGAGCAGAACAGCTTGGCTTGGTGTGTTTGTGTTTATCACAGGATGGTTTGGGTTGGAAGGGAACTGAAAGACATTTAGTTCCAACACTGACACCTTCCACTATCCCAGGTTGTTCCAAGCCCCATCCAACCCGGCCTTGGACACTTCCAGGGCTGGGGCAGCCACAGCTTCTCTGGGCAACCTGTGCCAGTGTGTGGCTTTCTGTTGGAAAGGGCGGGTTTCCTGACAGCTCCTGTTGGATATTTAAGTCTGCAGAGGTTTGATTAAGAACGGGGAGCGGCAGGATGAGGAGAGTGTTGGAGGCCGGCGGAGGACAGAAGCCCTTCGCCATCTGTGCAAGATGAACCCTTCCCAAGCTCTGAGGGTCCGGGGCATGGTGGTGAGTCTGGCATGAGAACCATAACTATGACCCCTGAATTATAAATAAGAGCTTTATAACCCACAAAGATCATTTTATCTAGGTGGAAGAGTGCCACCTGCCAGGTCTTGGCGTGGCTTTGACCTTGGATCACACCAAAAACGAATCTTCAGATGACGGAGTGAGTGACCTGGTGTGCTTTGTCAGTGGGCTGCTGCTTGGAACAAATGCAAAGGTTCGAACTTGGTTTGGGACTTTTATCCGAAATGGCCAACAGGTATGAAAATCTTTGGATATTCTGCTTTAAAAGATACATTCAGGTAGCTTACTGAAACCCTTCTGGCTGGGGGCCCCCATATTTGTCTGAATGCACATAAATCCTGTTTAAAGAGGAACCTTTACAGGGCAACCTCCTCTTATGGGACCATCAGGTCTATAAATGGTGTCCCTGAAGGCAGCAGCTGTTTGGTTGTTCCTCTGAGAGGTTT